TTGAATTAGGTTTATTGTCACATGTACTAACGAGTTCAGTGAAAGTTTACAAGTCATCCCTTACAGTGCTATCTTAAGTACAAAGGTACCTAGGTACAGAATCTTAGGTACAAAGCAGAAAAATAAGGAAAACAAAATTAAAAAGTTAAACATTACAGCCCTTCTTACTAAAAGGTAGAAAAACAAAAACCATAGTCCATAAGTGCCTGGCTATGCTGGGCTTGCACTTCTCACAGGGCTTGACCTGTCCTGCTTTGGGCTTGATCTTGCTCCCTGCTGTTGCCCTGGGCAGCCTGCTCTTGCTGTCTTGCGGCCTGTTCCTGCTGCTACCGGCCACTCCGGGCTGCCTGTTACTGCTCTCACCACCGGCTGTCTTATGTCTGCCTAAGTAACTAATTATCCAATGAGTATATCTTACTTCAGCAACTAACCCTAACTTATAGATATGTTTAGAACCTCTGCAGCAGGTGGAACTTTGGCTCAGAAGCAGGGATAATAACATTGCACCACAAGAGCCCTCCAAGCTATCTTGGAAATGTATCGCCATTCCTTCACTGTCACTGGATCAAAATCCTGGAATTCCCTCACTAAGGGCATTAGGCGTCAACCTACAGGACTGGGACTGTAGCGGTGCAAGAAGGCAGCTCACCACCTCTCAAGGGGCAACTAGGAATGGGCAACAAAATGCAGACTCTCCCAGTAATACTCACATTCCCACTCTCAGGGCACATAGGCATGGGCAATAAATGCTGGGCAGTCTGTGATACCCAAATCCCATGAGTCAATAAAAAAATCCCTTCTGCCCTCCATGTGACTCTTAACTGCGCTCTGAAATGGTCTAGCTGGTCACTCAGTTCAGGGCAGTTACAAATAGGCAACAAATGCTGACCTTAGCAATGATGCGGAGAGGTAGTGGTGTAGTTGTAACGTTACTGGACTAGTAACCCAAAAACCCACACTGATGTTCTGAGGACATTGGTTCAAATCCCATCGTAGCAGATGGTGAAATTTGAATTCAGCAAAAAACTGAAATAAAAAGATAGACTCATGATGATCGTGTAATCACTGTTGATTGTCATAAAAACATGTCATTCACTGATTTCCTTTGGTGAAGGAAATCTGCAATCCTTACCTGTTCTGGTCTACATGTGACCCCAGACTCTCAGCAATGTGGCTGACTGAACTTCCCTCTGGACAGTTGGAGATTGGCAATAAATGCTAGCCTAGCTAGTGACGCTCACTTTCCATTAATGAATTAAAAAAAACCCCCATCCCATGAAATAATAAAGAAAAACATATTCAGTGGCTATCTATCACCCCTTGCACAGTATTTCCATAATAATACTTGTCAAAGGGAATGTCATATACACTGCCTCTGCAAGAACCAATATTTCCACAGCTAAATATCTTTTAGCAAGCAATCTTATTTTCTTAACTTCCCATGCTGAAGGGTAACATTTCCCATTTTACCAAAACATATTATGAAACTAGCTGCACTTGAGTTCTCATCTGGATTAGCATGAGCAGAATCACTAAAAATAACTAATTTCATACTTTTTGGGTCATGCATGAATGGAAATTTGAGTACAAATTCCTGTACAAATTTAATAAAAAGTTATATGTTTCATTTGCCCTTAAAACATCCTCAATTTCAGGTGTGTCACTGTAATGTTTACTATCAGTACATTAAAACTAGCATTCAATCTTGTCACGAATGCACAACCAATTCAACTAACCAATCATACTTCACAGCTGCTCTGTTTTTCATCAGATGTGACAGCGTCTCTCAGTGATCTAAAATGATTAACTCGCATAGAATTAGCCCTTTCTAATTGTTAATTCAGGGTTACTTCAAACCTGTACCATTTTGTATTTAAGCCAATAGCAGTCTTCTAATTAGTTGATCATCATTGCTGAAGTATAGGCTGGAGTTGCATGTCTAGATCATGCAGATGTTCTCAACTCAGTTGACTCTGCAGTAATTGCCCAGGTGGTTTAAACTTCTAATGGGCAAATTACCCAACATTGGGCAAATTCTGGAAACGTCCCCAACTTTTAGTTAGTTGGAGCGTTCCAACTCATTTGCTTAATGTTTAACAGGCAACATGTTGTAACTCCGAGGCAATTATTAAACTGAAGCCACCCGCCCATTATAAGTTTTATAGAAACAGAAAAAAAACACAAGCAAAACAATAAAGCTGAGAAGCTTCAGTACACTGTCTTTCAGTATAAATCAGTGCTGTGTGTTGAGGACCTTAGGGTTATTCCCAGGTCCTCTAGCATTATGACAGGTAGCTTTGCTTCCAAACCGGTATGTCAAGGCCTACACAGAAGACTGCAATGGAGATATCTGGGACAGATAAAAGGAAAGCATGGAGGACTAGGCAGGCACTTTTAAGATCTGATTAACGTTGTGTGAACTATTTAATGGAAATTGGAAGTTCTATGCTAAAATATTTAAAGATCCTGAGTCCTAACTTTAAATTCCATTTTAATCTTATTGATAACGCACCTTTTGAATTGCACCAGGTAGACCTTGGACGTCCATAGGCAGATGTGGCTTCTGAAACCAGAAGTCTGTACTGGAAACGGCATCTGTACTCACAGCTGTAAGTTGATGGGAAGATTGCCTGGCGTCACTCCATAAGAAATCATCAACGTGCATCACAGTTTTTCAACATATATAAACCTGGCTTTTATCTTAATTGGTTCCCTTAAATGAGACCACAAGAATAGAGCAACTTTCAGGATTACTTTTCCTTCTGTGGAAGAGTCCGTGCTAACCTCTATATCACCTGTCACTATTCAAAACCTCAAGCAACTATCCTTGATTTTAGTATATAAGTCCCATCTCCAAGGACCTTTTCTGTGTATATGACAAGGTTGGGTGTCCCCTATCTTGTATTTGAGAATAAACTGCAAATCCCTTCCAACAATCTAATTCTGTTTGTTTTGCCTCTCATTTGTTTGCCCTTTAGTTTATCAGCAGCCATCAAATCTAGTTCTATCTAAAAGTTGTTTTCCTTTCCTTTCGTTATGCTCAGGTATGAGCCCTTCTTATACTTAAGAATGTTCTGAGACTATCACTTTAAGACCTTCCCCTTTGACCCTGTCGTGTGTGTCACAATCGCTCAGCCTGCCACCATCCAGCCCCTGACCTCTTGTATTCATTTCCTCAGGGCTGACATTCCAATATGCCCGAGTATGTGAAGTATCGGTGTCTTATCACCTTCTAGCACCTTGTAGTCAATCATTGTTAATTATGAGGGAATGATCCTTAATAGTTTTAATATCCCATTGGATAATCCCTGTCCTACCATCATGCCCTACTACCAGGACCTATCCATTCCTTACGTCTGTCTCTTTTGAAACACACCATATCCTCAGAACTGAAGTATATCTTGGATGGTCTTATCTAATGTCCTAAATCTCTTCCAATTTTCTACAAGACTTCAGCTTTAATGACAGTCCTGAATTTATAACGTTCAAATGTGCAGAAAAATAGAATTGGTTGTGCACACAGAATGTTTCATTTGTGTCATCAAGGCTATTGCAAAGGACTTCTTCCCCAAGAGTTGTTTCAAGGTAGCAAATACCTGCTTGAAAAGGAAGCCCCTTTTCAAGAACCAAACCTCAGTTAACAGTAGGAGCCTATTCATGTATGACACCTTCACACAATCCAGCAATTTAAATGTGCACACTGAGCAAGGGAATTTCTGCCTTTTTTAAAAATACATTATTGAAGTCTATGATGTATTTATTCATCTATGGAATAAACTTCTTTTTCAATGTGTCAAGGTTTGACTATGAAACCTTGTAGAAGAGCTAAATCTTTCTCAGTATCCAACTGATGAGTTACTTGGTCAGAACATACTTTTGCTTCTGATTTTATTTTTGTTGGGAGGTGACAATGCCAAATCCATGCTTTGTTTTCTCTTTGGTGATGTAATCTGTGACAGCAAACCCACTTCATTCTTCCATTGGTCATAAGGCTTAGACTCTCAGAACATCACAAGTAATAATATCCTGACAATTTTGTCTTGCTTTCAGCCATTCTTCGCAAAACATATATAAACTGTAATCCTGTGTCCTAAAAAAAAATTATTTCCAATCTTCACATTTAGGGAATTGTTCTCTGCTACTATGTTAAACTTCTAATGGCCTTCTGATAAAAGGAGGAGACCAACATTCAATCTTTTAGTTTTAGATTTATTCACATCGTTGGACAATATCAGTGTATTTCTTGTTCATTTGTGTAATTTTATTATAAGTTTCTGTGGCTTCCTTATAGAGTTGAATTTAAATATATCAAAATCTTAGATTTCTGCTGTAAATTGGGATTTTAAGTGATTATTGATCATTTGGGTTTTGAGTGTTTTTTGGCTACCTTTCTTCATTTCCAATTTTTAAAGAAAAATGAAAAGTGGTGAAAATCTTGTTTTTTTTTTAGCAAACTGCATATCAGAAAGGTGTTCTAAAGAGAACGTTGAAAATAATCAAACTAGTTCACAAGGAGGTTGTGAGAAAGAAATTTTACATGGAGTGTGTGACAATCACTTCGAATCTTCTGCCTACTAAGGGAGTGGAAGTCAGAACTGCCTCTGGCAGTAATGACCTGTATTTCATGCTGATATTGGAATAAGGGAACACTTACAGAGGTTGTATTAAGATAGTGGTGCATTGTAGAAAGAGCTTATACTATTCTTATACTATTTTACCTGAGAGTTTTCAATACAAACAGTAACTGCAGAAATGGAAATCATATTTTCAGCATTGGTATTGCTCACTTGCAAGCAGAGAAACTCACAAGTAACCAGATATGGTGCATTGTTCACTGGTGAACTGTAGGACCTTCAAGTTTGAGTTTTGAGTTGCAAATGTAAAATTTCTGACTTTGCCCATTTCTGAACCCTAAAAGAATCTTAAGTTTTGTAACTGTAAACCTGCCATTGTGGCTTATGATGTTACATATGTTAACTGTCTTTATCTCTCTCTGTCAGGTTTGTGTCCACCATTATAAGTGTCGTAGTAGTACCCATTTCCTGAAGCCAGAATATCCTACATTTAACAAGCCATCTCTTCAACTCAACAAACAATCAAGATTTTTCAGAACCTGTACTGGTAATTGAGATATTTTCTAGTTTCTTGTTGAGCTTCTGGTTCAGTCGAATTATTTGGGTCGGATGTTACCTAACTCTTTATTTATTTTTACAGCTGTTAATGGCCAGATTGTTCAGTTTAAACTTTCTGATATTGGAGAAGGGATAATGGAGGTTCATGTGAAGGAATGGTGAGTTGGTTCTTAATTGTCATTTAAGAATTAGTTTTTGTGTTGTAGAATGGCTACATTCAGGACAACAAATCTTTCATACTGAAAGCTGTATGTATATACTGACTTGGGCCTATTTATAAGAATTCCATGCATAGCTCTTCCTTAACTTAAGTTCTGTGCAGCAAAATTGCTAAGATCACAGTTTAAAACCTATTCAAGTGTAAACACTGTATTTATCTGCATTGTCACATCTTTCAAATATTATGAAGTATCTTGGGAACAAATTTGTTAAAAGGGCAGATATGATGGACATTTTGCAGCATTGATCTGAATGGAGAATTTAATTTTAAAGAAAGGTTTGCATATTGAAAAGCATATTTCACTGCCCCAGAACAACCCAATATTCTTTACAACCAATGAACAACTTTTGGAGTGCAGTTTTTTTTTATATTGAGGGATGGTGGATCAGATATCAAATCAAATTATTTCTGTTCTCCAAGTAGTATGGGGGGAGTTTAAATGTCTGGTTTAATTCCTCAAGCTAAAGCAGTGAAATGCTCCTTTTACGTCACATTCGTATTAGACCAGATTACTTGTTGAAATCCATAAGTGGACATTCAACCACACCCTTCAGACTTGGAATACTACTAAGTCAAGCTGACAACTTGGAGGAATAACTTTGAAATGATTCTGATACATCCATGAATGTTGTAATACTATTCACATATTTTGTATGTGCAGATAAGAACCAGTATTTCTGGTTTTCTCTCCTGTCACATCTCATTTTGCTGGACAGGATATAAGAAAAAAGCTTAACAACTTTGAATCCTGCTTGCTTCACCTCTCTACGTACCCACTGTTTTTCAATGTAAGACTTTTAAAAGAGCTCAATAATGTTCTGTGCTACCTTTTATATTTTCCTTCCTTCTTGCAAGTTTTAAAATCAGTTGTAACCAAGTAAGTAGGAGTCAATTAGCTCCTATCTTTTAACAGCCTCCCAGCTCCCACTTTTATTTTACACACACCAGCCCCCCGCTTCCGCAACCTCCCCACCCTGTCGATTGAAACCGCATTTTGCATACAGCTCTATCACAAGTGAATTGAAAATGTAGTTAATTTGAACAAAATGAAGGACACAGTTACAAGGTTTCCTTGTGTGTAAGGAAGAGGAATTTTATTACATTCTAATCTACATTCTAATCTCAAGTGTATAAACAAAAACACAACATCAAACACAGGTAACGCATTGAAAAGGAGAGTCTGACTCATACAGACAGTTTAAAAGTCCTTTGAGATCCTGAGATGTTAGATGTTTTTAAACTTGGAACCACAAGTTTAATGGTTGAATTGTATCCTTAGCAATGGTAAAGTCTGTGGATCAGTGAATGGTGTATAGCCAGTTTGCTTTTTCACTGAGTTCTGTCTTCTAAGATAATGAAGAGGAACCTTGGAGAGAAAGAGACTTCAAGCTTTTGCTGTAAATGTATCTTTTTCTTTCTCTGCTCTGCAGCTGAAAAATGGTTCTTGAAATAGAGTTATTTTGTTTACTTCTGAGTCTGCCTCGACTTTTTTCTCGTAAGCTGGATAACCTTTCATCTATCACCATGTGAACATATCATACAAATATGAATTAAAACAAGAAATACAAAACTGATTTCCTTGGCCTCTTAAAGACGTTAGTTTCAACTCAGATGTTTTCTTTACCTCGCATTGGTTTTATAAGGTTTGTCTCAGTCTGTGGTCCACTGACACTGAAATCATTTTAATTGAGTCTTTGTCCTTTTTCTTTGAAACCATTTTAGGCCATGAAAGGTCTCTGGTATAGCATCAGGTGATAGAAGTTAAAATTTGATAACCTATGATTACCATTATCGTAACAAATTCAATCTTTGTGAACCTTATCAGTAATCCCTGATTTACCTCAACTTCCCTTACTTCTTTTAACTTTGTTGCCCTGCATGATAATATTTACGCCATCGTCTTGATTTCTCAAACTTAAACAAAAAATTTGCCTTTTAATTTTAGATTCCACAGCAATACAAGTTTTAGGTTACATGTGGAAATCATATATACTGTTCCTGCAGAACTGAGAATTTCTTTTAACAATCCTTAAAATATCTTGTCTAGCTTTCTAATACTTAAGTAAAAATGTTATCAAGATTTCTAGTTGTTAAAACTATTCAATGTGATCTATGCTAAATGTCTTTCTATTAAGGATCATATTTTTGCTATTTACTTAATGCCAATCTTGTTTTTGGTCTTCTTGTGTTATGTTACCTATGTCCCAGAGGAAGTTACAAGTGACTCTCCTAATTTTTGCTCCTTTAATCTGTAACAGGGCATAGTTGATTTTCCCTGATTTATGTGGTAAATTGAGGGCAGAAGCTCACTGTAATTTTTTGTTTTTGAGGTTAGTGGGTAATAAAATTTGTTATTCTTAGATAAGTAACATTCGGGCCACACAAATGCCAGCCAATGACCATTTCCAACAAGCGATAATCTAACTATCAACCCTTGACTTTCAGTGGCATTACCATCAGTGAATCCCTTACTATCAACATCCTGGGGGTTACCAGTGACCAGAAGCTAAACTGGGCTAATCATATAATGAGATAGCAAGAATTGCAGATGCTGGAGTCAGGGATAACAAAGTGTGGAGCTGGAGGAACACAGCAGGCCAGGCAGCATCAGAGGAACAGGAAAGTTGACGTTTTGGGTTGGGATCCTTCTTCAGAAATCAGTGTTACAGTTGCTACAAGAGCAGATCAGAGGCGAAGAATCCTGCTGTGAGTAATTCACCTCCTGACTCTCAAAGCCTGACCACCATCTACAAGGCACAAGTCAGGAATGTGATGTGATCCCATTAAACTGGATGGTTGCAGCTCCGACAACACTCAAGAAGCTGGACATCATCCAGAACAAAGCAGCTTACTTGATTGGCACCACATTCACAAACATTCACTCCCTCCACCATTAATGCTCAGTGGTAGTAATGTGTATTATTGAAAAGATGCACTTCAGAAGTTCACCAAGGCTCCTTAGACAGCACCTTCCAAAATCACAACCACTTCGAAAAGGACATGGGCAGCAGTTACACGGAAACACTGCCACTTGCAAGTTCCTCTCTAAACCACTCACCACCTTAACTTGGAAATATATCATTATTCTTTTAGTGTCATTGGGTCCATATCCTGGAATTCCCTCCCTAATGGCATTGTAGGTCAACCTACAACACATGGACTGTAGCAGTTCAAGAAGGCAGCTCACCACTACCATCTTTGGGCAGCTAGGGATGGGTAATAAATGCTGGCCTAGCCAGTGATGCCCACATCCTATGAAAGAATTTTTAAAAAGCTATGATTTTGTGGTATTGGTTGCTGTAAAAATGCCAGTAATTCACAGATCAGTTTTTAATAAAACTTGTGCTACCTATCCAATCTGTGTAATCTTCTGGCAGATGATTATGATATTTCCTTCTTGCCCCAAATGAAAATTGAACAAAGTTCCAGTGCATCTGTCTAAATCAAATCAGACTTCCTTGTAAACCAGTTGCTTTCTTTCATACGACAGTTCAATAATCTTAACAGTTGAGAAACCCTCATATCCGAAAGCAATTAAACAATTTTATATTGTACTATCTTCGATCGCATCATTAACCAAATATTAATCTCCCTTTAAAAGTAAAAGTGGAACTGGTATTGATTACAGGTGATCCAAGGCTTGAAGCATAGCTGTGATGGTTAGCTGCTAGCGTGGTTTTGAAGCCATTGTTTTAAATAGCCATACTCAAGCATTTTAACCTGTTATCAATTGCCGATGTCATCCACAATGCTTCTAAATTTTAGGAAGTCAGACAAAGGCTTTCTTTTAAAGATTTTGTATTTCTAACAACATGTTGTAGATGCAAGAAATATGACTGGCATTTGTTCTGTAAATTTGATCTACCATGCCCCAATGCTTATAGCACCACCTAATGACGTAGTGATACAGTAATCAATAACTTCATCGTGAAAATTTTAGGTATAAGTATTGTCTCATTTGACTGATCCCTTCAATGGCTAAATTAAAAATCTTTGGTTATGTTAAGGTTATCAAAATTTAAATATTACTTTATAATGGATTGTCTAGTTTGGCTACACATAGAGTCCCCACGGTGTGCAAACAGGCTATTTTACCTAACAAGTCCACACAGACCTTCTGAAGAGCAACCCATTCAGATGTATCCCCCCACCCTATCCCTGTATTTCCCATGACTAATACACCTAACCTATACATCCCTGACTACTATGGACAATTTAGCATGGCCAATCCACCAAACTTGCACATCTTCAGACTGTGCAAAGAAACCGGAGCACCTGGCAGAAACCCACACTGACATGGGGAGAAGGTGCAAACTCCATAAGGATAGTTGCCCAAGCCCAGAATCGAACCTGGGTCCCTGGTGCTAGGAGGCAGCAGTGCTAATCACTGCGCTGGCCCTTCAGTACCCATTCAGTAGCCTGCTGAAATGACAGGTTGAGAAATAAGGTGCTACTCACAAAACATTTTAATAGGCACATTGATATGTTATGTTCCTTGCTTTGGAACTCGTGGCCACAATTGCATGTCAGTTGTTCCTCATCTTCCACTGAAGGAGCAGGTGGTCATGTCATCCATACCCAATGTGGATTTGGTTGGACACTGTCCGTTATTTTCAAGGGAGGCTGAAACTCAGTATCTCTGTTATTGAGCCAGTTATGAGATGCTGAGATGTATGCACAATAAAAACCCATGCCTATTTCAATCTAGATAGTGGGTTGATAATTTTGAACACTTTCCTGGTAAGTTTTTCAGTTCTTTGTGAATGGGAATGTCAGTGTTGCTCAGACTTCTTTCATCTCATAGAGAAATATTAGACCATGATGAATGACACATCAGACAACATGGGACAGCACCTGGAGCCACTTAGTTACAGTGAGCTTGAGCATCTCTGACATTATTCCCATGGCAACATTTAGCTGCATGTCGACTGTCTTTGTGTAATGGTTGCAGGATCCCCATGAGGCAGAGTAGTACCCTGCAGCAGGGTAGACTAATTTTGGCTGTACTCTTCTTAACGTTCCTGGATGACTCTCAGCATGGCTTTTACTTCTAAGCTGGTTTTGATGAAATATGGCTGCTACATGAGAATCCTGAAACCTAGATGTTGTGGGCTAGGGTCATTTATCAATATTAGATCCAGGTTGCTAGTGAGCATTGAACTTAATTGCCCTAAGTTTAATACTTGTGTTGGTTCTCCATGCCATTGACATGGATGACATCCTAGGATTTGGTGTAAAGGATGTATACCAAATAGATGGGGCAGAGTGCCTGTGGTCGGCTGCTTCTGCGATTAACAAATATATGCAGAACTTAACAGTTGCTTGTTAATGTGTTGATAAAAAGGAGTACTTTCAGGGCTTTCAGGACGATTATACAATGTGTAAATATTGATTTCAGTATCACTGTAATATGCACTAGGTAGTGCTGCAAGAATTAACAAGATATTTCATGCTCTGTTCAATTCTGATTATTGAAATACAATCAAGGATTTCAGTCTTTGGGTGTTTTGATTTGTTAAGCAGCATACTATTACTAAATTAATGTGGTGGACTTTCATTCCCCTCTTATGGAGGCAGGGGCTATATTCTACTGTAGCCTCATTAGTATCCTACGACATCCTGGTATCTTGCTGAAGTAGCAATTTTTCTGTGTAAATTGACATAGAACATTGGGAGGCTATTCAGTCCATTTCTGCTCTCATTTTTAATCATTTCATTTTGTAGCAGTCAAGAACAGGTACCCTTGATTTTTCATTTTAATGCCATTAACTGTTGAAATCAGCCATATTACTTAATTGATTAAAATTTAGTTCAGCAGAAAAATGGAAATCAAATCTACAACCTATTTGATCTCATAGTTCAGTATCCCGTCGCAATGGTAGCCTGGAATTGCTTGGCACCTTTTTAATGCAAAATATATCCCAAGGAACTGTACCCAGGAGAAAAGCAAGATACCGCAGACACTTCTATTGTTGACTCTGCCCTGTCTTCTTTCCATCCTTGTATCTCTTGCTTCCAGTACTTCAGCTAGTTCCCAAAGCACATAAAACATTGTAACTGTGGTGGCACAGTGCTGCCTATCTTAGAGATAAAGTAATGCATATCTTGAGAAGTTGTTAAAGTTAGTGGAAAAGTGTGACTATTATGCAAATATGATAGATAAGTTTCAGGAAGGAGTTGTTACCAAATCAAGTCAGTGGATTGTGCGGATTGGATAAGTCAACTCTGTACTGCATTCTGTTTTGGGTTTTAAATTCTGCCATTTTTTTTATCATGTGAAGTGTAAACCAATGTGTTTGATTATTCTGGTATTCTTAAATGTTTCATTGCAATAATAAATAATTGGCTTTTACTTCTTTGTGTTCATTTACCTATATATTTAATCTCGATACTTTTTTTTATAAAGGTGAAGATGTACTCAACACGATAATGTGTACAGTGTAGAAGCTTGAAGATCAGTACCTGAAGTTTAGAGCATCAAGGCTCAGAAACACTTGGGTGATGGTTATAGTCCCAAGCTTTGGTACTGTTTGTGAGATTGGTCCTCTTGTGGAATCATCTCGGAATGCAGGTTTTGGGGATTGGCAGGAATATGGAGGGCTCTGCTTGACAACACTGAAGGGGAGCCTGTGCTTGAACTGGATGAAGGGATATAGGGTTCAGCTCACTCATGGATTCCAGAATGCTGTTAGCATTTGTTAGGGTGGAGAAGTGATCATTGTAATTGGGTCCTGGTCAATTTATCTAACTGTCAACTAATGTCGATTTGATTCTGATTTCAGTTCCTTCTGAGTGATAAATAAGCGCACGGTTACTTTAATGTTTTGCTTTATTTTTAATTAGCAAAATTTAGCTGGCAATTTTTGCACATCTTGGGAGGGATTGGGCTCACAACCAGAACTCACTGCAAAGGATTAACTTCCCTAATGAACATAAAATGCTCAAGTTATTGAAATTGTGTACTCTCACTGAAATGACAAGGGGAGCTGGTGATTGGATACGGGGTACAATCCATGGTGCCTGTGTGTGTTGGAAACGAAGGTGTTTCTCTGTGGTGTGGCTAACAGTAGATTTGCCCTTGTTGCATTATGATATTGTTAATTGTTAATAATTACCCTCTCTCCAGCTCAGGAATTGCTACGTGCTTGGGGCTGGGGAAGAAACTAATGGAATTGGTTGAATAAAGTAAGAAAAATGCACTGAGGAATATGCTCATTTAACCTTAGGTGCAGCATATGGGTAAGGTGTTGTGTCGGCGCAAGTACGAGTGCAGAATAGTAACGCTTATTTAAAAAAAGATTAATTCAGAATTTGATCAACTCATCTTTGAGCTCTGATAATGGTGGACCATGGTTAGATATGGTAATAATCTCAGCTGGACCTCAGAAGTAATGAATTAGCAGTGAAAGTCCTCTGAGATATCTGACAGTCTAAGATGAATGCAAGTTTGTTTATTCTTTACATGTTAATGAGAGTTGAGATTGGAGTATAGTATTTTCATTAAACAATTTTCTTTTTCTACCGACTTTATGTGTCCTCTTACCCTTTCCGAAAGCCTTTAACATTTTGCCTGCGTGTGTACTTTTGTGGACGAGTTCGTGTTTAGTAATTTAACATGAGCACAAATATTGCACATTGATTGATGATTGCTAACAAGACGGTTGCAGCTGAATTCAGTTTTGCCTTCAGACAATGTTAGCATTTTGGCACTACTCGCAATGATCACTGGATTCCAATCACAAGTAGGAACTATATGCATTTTTTTTTCTCTCGCTAGCAGATTACTGCAGCTGTTTTCAGTGCCTTTCACTTAAGTGAACTCAGTGCGGAGCAGGCTGGAGATTGAGATCTTACTGATCTTTTGAGTGATCCTCTGAATTTGTCAATTCTATATACTTAAAATTAGCTTTTTGTGCTAAGGATTTTCAGAAGCAGTTACTTTTCCTCAGAATGCTTTGAGATGTTATCCTGCTTAAAAGGTACTATAAAAACACAAATCATTTTTCCAAGTTGGCTATTTTTGGCAGGAGAACATTGTTTTTAGCCTTCAAAAAACATTTTTGGAAAAAAAAATTGTCCTCAATTCTTTATGAAGATCTCTACATTAAACGTGTATTGTTCCAATACTTTGTTCTTTATGCTATTTCAGAAAAGCTTTTTTTTGTTTCTACAGGTATGTAAAGGTAGGAGACACAGTGTCACAGTTTGACAGCATCTGTGAAGTTCAGAGTGACAAAGCATCAGTTACAATAACAAGCCGATATGATGGTGTGGTTCGAAAAATTTATTACAACGTGGATGACACCGCTTATGTGGGCAAACCACTGATTGATATAGAAACAGAAGCTGTAAGAGGTACATCAAACTGGGACACTGATCTATTAGGTGGTGGGCAAAGTTGGGATTGGGGGTCCTACACTACTGAGTATTTGTAACAATGCCTAATTTAAAAAATGATGTGCATGGGACCCTGCATTTTGTAAGGACAAGTAAAGAATACCAATATAAACCAAGTCAAATATTTTTAAATGTAGTGTAGAAACCAAGAGAATTCGCATTCACATATCTTTGAAGGTGATAGGGCAAATTTAGAAATGTGGTATCCTTAGCGTTATAATTAGAGGCAGAATGTGCAAAAGCAGGGATGTTTTTGGGATGTTAGACAACAACAACCTTAGCATATATCAATTTTGCACCTTTATAGTGATGTATGTCCAAGGGGGTTTCACAGTAACATTATAAAACGGTGTGACACCAAGCCACATAGGGAAATATTAGGACAGATGACCAAAAGCTTGGTCGGAGGAATGTGTTTTGAGAACTGTCTTAAAGGCGGAAAGCAAGATGTAGAGTGGGCATTTGTAAACTTGGGGCCTGGATTACTGAAGGCGTGACCACCAATGATGGTGTGGTTAGAACTGGGAATGCAATTGAGGCCAGAATTAGATCTTCATAAACCAGTACAGATTAATTGAAGGTTAAAGGTTATTTATTTAAAAGATCTGAGGAATTTTTTATTGCAGAATGGTTAAAGGACTTCAAAACGTTTACATTATAAAGGTTCAGTTGTAATTTCCTTGGATAGAAAGACATATTGGTCTATGTGAACTGTCAACCCTGGAAGCATTATCAACAAGAGGGAAGTTGAGAAACAAAATGGGTGAGTGCCAGACACAAAGCCAAGCAGCTGGATGGGTGAAAGCAATCAGCATATAGGTACAGACACAAAGAGAAAGCAGACGGAGACAGAAAGAGAAATGCAGTAAAATCTTGAGTGGAGGAGGAATAAAGTCCTTTTGGTATTCCTCTACATAAAGGTTGACAGTTGTGCAAACTGGTGTAAAACCTGGAAAGCTGTGTAAAGAGCTGGGTATTTTCCCAGGTTTAGTCATAATGTTAACTGGTTGGTTGGTTGTTTGAAAAAGAATTCTGGCAAGCTACGCTATTGAGGTTATTGTGGCCTGAGGAGAAGAAGATTTGTAGAAGCCTTGGTAGTAATAATTGTACACGTGAAACTTAAAGGTGAAAACTCTTGCTGGTTAGGACCGATCTCGTCTGCGTGATTAAAGAATGTGTTGTGAAACTGTGTCGTCACATGCTGCCACATTTGTGTTCAAAAACATGTGGTTACATAAGACATAGCTGTTGTGTTGACTAGTTAATTAACCTTTGTATTTGAAGTCTCATTTCTCTGTTAATTGATGTTTAATTTACATTAGCTCTGATTCATGTTAAAGTAAAAGCTGCAAAATGTAGAACTTGTTGGTTATTTCATTCTTGGAAGTGACTCAGTAACTTTGGTTGTTTTCATTTATGGCTCCCCATGTGGATCAAATCAAAATTGAGGGCTCAACTGAGATTAAACCTAGAGACTGTAAAACCATTTCATTGGAATTTACCAGCATTTAAAGAAGCAATATATGACATTTGTCTTTTCTATGTTTTATTAGGAAATCAACATGGGTACCTTTGAGGTTCATGTTTTTGAGAGAAACAGTATGACTCTTTAAACTTGAAATAGCTGTCAAAAGACAGTTTACAAAATGTAAAGCTAGTGGAATTAACATACAATAGGGAGTTAAGGATGATGGGACCCTTGAAGAATTGACTGGTCATCTGGGTCTAAAGGAGGAAAGGACTGGTTCCATTAGTGATTGAGAACAACTGATTAGAATTTAAAATGTAAAATTAAGAAAGGTTGACTTAGAAAGAGAGAAATTAACAAGGGATGAAAGAGATTGAGAAAGGAATAAAGAAAGAAAGAGATGATCAAAATAAAAATGAAGCATGAGCTCCAATTATGTAAACTTGAGTTGACAAGCAAAAGTGAGCTGCCTGTAAGAATTCTCTTAATTTTGATTTGATGAAGAATTTTTGCTTATTATTCTGCAAAGGTGAAGAAGCTACTTATTTGCTGAGTATCTGCTAAATGACTTAAGGTTTATTCCATTCCTTAAGATTGAAATATAATAATAATGGCAAAGTTAATAAGATATGTAAAAACAAAAGTAAATATATAATCGATTAAAATAATTTAGCATCTAATTAGAACGCATTAAGGATGGCAAAACGGGTGATGTGTCACAGTTGCAGCATGTTGGAGCTGCTGGATGCCAGTTTGATTCGGCGCAAATGCATCTGTAGTAAGTGGTTGCGCCAAAGTTACACTCATTTCAGAGATTATGACTTGGAGTCTGAACATCAGACACTACATCACATCCTTTTAGATGGATTCTTTAGTACTAGGAGGCAGTCGGTATTCTTCGGATTGGGTCTTCTGATTTGGTTAGTGTTCAGGGAAAGGCCTGCGAGTGAGGCAAGAAAGGCGGTCCAGAGGGCAGGAGTGTTAGCCTTTGCAATTGTCTAGCGGGTTTGAGATTCTTTTGCTTTTTTGGATGAGCATGGGGGCTGCAGGGTGGATGAACATGCTGACCATTGTACAGGAGGCCATTCAAGTGGAAGGGACAGAGAGGAATGTTGTGGTTACAGGGGACGGTATAGGCAGAGGAATTAACTAGTCTCTGCAAAAAAGAGTGAATCCAAACAGCAGTATTCTCTATTGGTGCCGGGGTTTAGGACATCTCGTCCAGGTTGGAGAAGAGTTTTCAGAGGAAGGAGGAGGCACCAGCCATCATAGTCCATGTAGGTACCATACGCGTGACAAAGTAAGAGATTCTACATGGTCATTTGAGTATCTAGGCACTAAATTACAAGGCAGAACTTCAGAGATCACAATCTCGATTATTTTTGAGTAATGTGCATATTGGTATAGGCCAAATCAGATTATAGATGATTATGTGCCTCAAAGACCAGTTTGGGAGAATTGGTTCTGGTTTGTGGAGCCCAGGCATCAGTACTGGGGAAAGTAGGATCTGCACTGACGGACGATCTCCACCTGAACTGTGCAGGGGCTGGTGTTCTTGCCAGCTGCATAATGAGAGAAGTAGAGAGGATGTTAAACTAAATATAAGGGGCAAAGGGATCAAATTTAGAAAGAAGTAAATCAAAATGATAAATCCAAGAGTAGAATCGAGGCAAAGGAGAAAGGTATTAATATGGGAAATGATAAACAGAATGCAAAGTGATGGAAAGTACAAATCCAAGGTGAAAGTAAGTATGCGGGTGCAGGAGCAGGGATACCTTGCTGCAATTGTACAGGACCTTGGTGAAACTGCATCTGGAGTACTTTGTGCTGTTTTGGTTTCTTTATCTGGAAAGGAATGTTCTGGCTATGGAGAGAGTGCAACAAAGGTTTACCAAACCGATTCCTGGATGGATCAGTTAGGACTATATTCAGTGGAGTTTAGAACAATAATGGGGGATCCCATAGAAACCAATAAAATTCTCTCAGGACAAGTTATGCGAGGAGTCAGAGAAAATGAGTGAGATTCTGAATGGGTACTTTGCGTCGGTATTCACCGAGGAGAGGGACATGACGGATGTTGAGGTTAGGGATAGATGTTTGATTACTCTCGGTCAAGTCGGCATAAGGAGGGGGGAAGTGTTGGGTATTCTAAAAGGCATTAGGGTGGACAAGTCCCCGGTCCAGATGGGATCTATCCCAGGTTACTGAGGGAAGCGAGACAGGAAATAGCTGGGGCCTTAACAGATATCTTTACAGCATTGTTGAGCACGGGTGAGGTCCCGGAGGACTGGAGAATTGCTAATGTTGTCCCCTTGTTTAAGAAGGGTGGCAAGGATAATCCAGGTAATTATAGACCGGTGAGCCTGACATCAGTGGTGGAGAAGATACTGAGGGATAGGATCTATTTACATTTGGAAGAAAATGGGCTTATCAGTGATAGGCAGCATGGTTTTGTGCAGGGAAGGTCATGTCTTACCAACTTGATAGAATTCTTTGAGGAAGTGACCAAGTTGATAGATGAGGGAAGGGCTGTAGATGTTATATACATGGACTTCAGTAAGGCATTTGATAAGGTTCCCCATGGTAGGCCGATGGAGAAAATGAAGTTGCATGGGGTCCAGGGTGTACTAGCTAGATGGATAGAGAACTGGCTGGGCAACAGGAGACAGAGAGTTGTAGTGGAAGGGAGTTTCTCAAAATGGAGAACGGTGACCAGTGGTGTTCCACAGGGATCTGTGTTGGGATCACTGTCGTTTGTGATATACATAAATGATCTGGAGGAAGGTATAGATGGTCTGATTAGCAAGCTTGCAGATGACACCAAGACTGGTGGAGTAGCAGGTAGTGAAGGGGACTGTCGGAGAATGCAGCAGAATATAGATAGATTGGAGAGTTGGGCAGAGAAATGGCAGATGGAGTTCAATCCAGGCAAATGCGAGGTGATGCATTTTGGAAGATCCAATTCAAGAGCGAACTATACGGTAAATGGAAAAGCCCTGGGGAAAATTGATGCACAGAGAGATCTGGGTGTTCAGGTCCATTGTACCCTGAAAGTGGCAACGCAGGTCGATAGAGTGGTCAAGAAGACATACGGCATGCTTTCATTCATCGCTCGGGGTATTGAGTACAAGAGTTGGCAGGTCATGTTACAGTTGTATAGGACTTTAGTTCGACCACATTTGGAATACTGCGTACAGTTCTGGTCGCCACATTACCAAAAGGATGTGGGTGCAGAGGAGGTTCACCAGGATGTTGCCTGATATGGAGGGCGCTAGCTATGAAGAGAGCTTGAATAGATTAGGATTATTTACATTAGAAAGACAGAGGTTGAGGGGGGACCTGATTGAGGTCTACAAAATCATGAGTGGTATAGACAGGGTGGATAGCAAGAAGCTCTTTCCCAGAGTGGGGGACTGAATTACTAGGGGTCACGATTTCAAGGTGAGAGGGGACAAGTTTAAGGGAGATATGCGTGGAAAGTTCTCTACGC